GGAGAGCACAAGACAAATAGCTTCCACCCAGGATCAACACTCCTGTGTGCATCTCCTCAGATCTGGCACTCACAACACCCGCCAGGACCTTGCAAAGCTGCCTGAATCTTCCTGCTTAAGCTGACTTGACCGCTGACCACCTGATCTATGATGTTCCCTTTGTCCTTCCAGCCTGGACCTGACCCAGTGCCTGTCCAAGCTGTGATCACCACCCAGCCAGGCCATTGTTTCTGCCTGGTGGGAACCTTGGTTTCATCTATCCATGACTTGCTAATCCTACCCCCACCCAAGCAGGACCTGAAGCTCCTGGGATCATACAACCCACTGCTCACCTGTGATTGCGCCACAGGACATCTTTTTCTATACATTCCTACAGAACAGAGTGTCCTGTCTCCCTATAGACACTAGTGTCTGCATTATCTAGGTCCTCCCCTTTTCTGTCTATCCCCTGGTCATTTGACTTGCCTTGAACTTCTTCCAGAAGAGAGCAGAGAGGAAAACACTCAAACCAGAGAGAGCTCTAGTTACTATTGGTTTAGGGGGAGGAGAACAGCTAAAGATAATGTAAAAAGGGGATTTGGTACTGGCCAAACATTTTAATTATTGTCATCTATCCTGACCCCTTAAACCATGGAGAACAGAGTTGGTACAAAGGTCAGATGATGTTAGTATGCTGACTGCTGCATTATACCCACTTGGGTTCATTTGTTCATTCAAAATGTACTGGACGTCAATTTCTTGAATGCCTTTAACTGCACTAGTATGCTGGTAAACTGGCTCTGGCCACAGGGGTGGCTGCTTTGTAGCATTTACCAGTTTCCATGTAAACACTCCCACCATGGCCAATTTCAAGCTACAAATGTGACATGACTGAATGCAGGGTTGGGAACAGCTATACAGCATCATCTCCCTTGAGCTGGTAGGAGCTGGCTCCAAGCCCGAAGGACTCAGATTTGACCTGGTTCCTATCCCCAGGTAATGCTAGTCTAGTAGTATGGAATAGCCAAGCATTGACACAAGATTGCAAGAGAGTGTAGCAGGTACTAAAGCAAAGGTCTACAAAGTTCAGGGAAAGTCTGGATGGTAGTTAGCTGCCTGGGGGCAGGGAGGCTCATTTTAAAAAGCTGACACCTTCACCAGTCTTGGAAGATAAGCAGGACTTCCCAAGGGGAATGGCAAATTCCAGAACAAGAGAATAACAGATACTGAAGACCAGAGGACAAAAATAACATGTTTGGGGAAGGGTTTTGGGGGTGGGTTCAAGGTAGGGAGTGTGGGAGACATGCCTGGGGGTCAGACTGTGGAAAGAGGGTCTTCTCTGCCAGTTAAGAATTAGAGAACAGTAGATCAACTATACTTCAATTAAAAAAAAAACCAATGAAATAGAGAACAAAATAAAAATCTATCCACTCACCAATCCATTTACCTATCCACTCCTGCCTCATTTAGGAGGCAGCATTCAAGACACATGGAGTCAGTACAGTAATAAAGAAAATAAGGTCGAAAATGAGGAAAATAAAAGTAGGAGGTGACACTGGATCTTCACGTCATACACAATGTGAATCTGCTAAATATTTTTTAAGTACTTATGTTGATGCTGAGAACAGACAGAAGCCCTCTCCTTGTGGGCCGACTGGATGTCCGCTCAGCAGCTCTAATGGTATCTCAAAATCTGCCCCATTCTTTGAGTTGTCTGGGTTGAGAGGAAAAGTGAGGAGGAGGGAATCAGGTGGACCAGGCAAGAGGCATAAAAGAGAGCCAGGGAGACGCAGGATACAGAGAGGGATGTCCTCTCCCACGGGCATCCGCTGTCCCAGGCTCTGCCTGCCTGGAGCTCCCTGTCCTCTGAGCCTCAGCACAGCAGGCAGCCCAACCCCAAGGTGTTATTTTTCTTATTGGAGCAAAAAAGGTCTTGTATGTTGTATAGAAACTTCCTGCTGAGAGCAAGTTGCCCCAAGAGGAAGGCCTCCCCAGCCTCCGTCGCCTGGGTTGCTGGCAGGGGGCTCCTCGGTGGTGGCGCTGGCAGTCCCTGTGCAGGGCCTGGTGAGTTCCTGGCTTGCTCCCCTTGGCCTGGTCAGCCTCTTCGTGGGCCTGGGTTGATCACCTGATTCTCTCGCCCTGTTCCAGTGAATAGTCCTTGGATGGGGCCTGACTTGGCCAGCCGCTTTGCTGGGGCTTCTAGGGCCTGTCTTTGTCCTAATCCAGACACTCAGCTCTATACCAGCTCCCAGCTTCTGGGAACTTGCTGGGTTGGGCTCAAACCTGTGCCTACACCTTGATCTTGGTTCTCCTAGGCCTGGTTTCCTGACGTCTCTCAGTAGCATCCCCACAGCACACACACAAAGAGAAGCAGAGGGACTCCAGAGCCACAGAGTGAGGGACAGAGAAAAGGAAACGCAAGCCAGGCTTCCATAAAAGTCACAGGGAAGGAGGATACTCTGTAAAGCCAAGTTGCAATTTGTAACTCTGGATATACATTGCTAGTTGCCTAAAAAGGTCAGATATTCTAAATTAAGCAAAATGATAACCCTGTCCACTTGTGCCAAGTCCCCCATTTTATCCTAAAGCCAGTGCTCTTTGTTGTTTTGGGTATTTGAGGAAAGCAGCAAATCTTCTTCTCAGAAAAACATATATGGGTGGGAGGGTATAGCTCAGTGGTAGAGCGTGTGCTTAGCATGCACAAAGTCCTGGGTTCAATCCCCAGTGCCTCCACTAAAAAAAAAAAGAAAAAGAAAAAGTAAACCTAATTACCTCCCCCTGCAAATAAACAAAATAAAATAAATCAAAAAAAGAAAAATGTATATACACACACTATACAACACACACAAACACTACACCACCCACATCATATGCACCCACCACACACACACCACAAACACACAGAGGCATACTCTCACCAGTGGTTTCAGAGGATTCCCAGACACCCTGAGGCACACCTGGATTCCAGGACGTCAGTGCATTTCCCCTCCCCTTCTCTGGGCCACTTGGATTTAGCACTGCTTTAGCAGGGCCCTCACCAGGTGCTTGTGGGAAAGCCTCAGTTAACTCTGGCAGCAAAAAGCCACTCCTACTTGAGGGTGTGCAAAGGGCTTTCCAACATAGAGACTTTGAAGTAAACAGATCTGGGATCAAATCCTCACCTATCTGTTATCAGTTCAGTGTGGCCTCCGTTTTCTTATCCATAAAGTGGGGACAGTATTTCCTCTTTGACAGCACTGTGCTGAGGGTTATGTGAAACGGCCAATGAGTGGGCCTAGCATATACTGATCCCGGGGAGGGCTGTACTCATATTAACCTCTAAACACTTCACATGGGTCAATTCATTCAATCCTTCGTGAGATAGTTGTTGTTATTATTCCCACTTTACAGATGTGAAAACTGAGGCACAAAGAGGTGTAGCAGCTTGTCTAGGTCACACAGCTAAGTGGCAGAGGCAGAAGTCAAACTCAAGCAATTGGACACAGCCCCCGAACTTCTAACCCCTGCATGTACTTCCTCAAGCAGGCTTGTTCCCGCTTCCTTCCTTTACTGACCCCTTCAAGCTGGGTCAATTCTTCCCTTCTGTAAGCTCCCATGGTGGGAACCCTGTCACGGCACCCACCACCTCTGTGTTATACATACTTGTACATGTGTCTGTCTCCCCACCGTGAGTTGTGCTCCATGGAGCCAGGGACCCCCAGTCTGGCCTGGGCCCAGAGCTGGGCAGTGGGATACAGGACTGAACAAGGCAGAGAGAGAGGCAGGTCACAAAGCAGGGAAGAGTGGGCGCCCTGGGGCCAGACGGCTTGGTTCCTGGCATCAGCATTCTCTAGCTGTGTGCACAGGCAAGTAAGTTAAGTCCTCTGAGCCTCAGTATCCATATCTGTAAGATGGAGATAATAAACATTGCTACCTCAGTTGGTGTGAAGCTAGACTTGGCCGATGCCCTTCAAGTGCTGAGCACGGTGCTGAATACGTATGAGCTGTGTTCACCATCCTGATGGTCCACAAGCCCTGAGGAGGGAGCATCCGAGAGGGTCTGGCTAAAAAGCCCCTGGCTCATCTTCACTGAGTCAGGAGTCACTGTCTCCCAGCTTGGGCCTGGCCTCCCATCCCACCACGCAGACGTCCCGGCCCTTACCTCGGCCGTCATCTTGGCAATGAGCCCGGCGGAGATGGCCCCTCTGAGCACATTCCGCCTCAGGCCGGGGTTCCTGGGGTCCTTGAGGTTGCTGATTCGGCTGCGCACACGGTTCCGGTACTTCATATCCGTGCTCTTAAGCTCCTGGTAGATATGTGGCGCAGTCAAGGGCCAGCCAGCCACTCACAGAGGCACACAGAAGGATGGGAAGCCTGTCCCTGAAGCCCGAGGAGCCCCAAGGCCACCCTTCCTCTCCTTGGACTTGAACAGGAGCCAGGTACCTTTGTGGCCTCTGACTGCCCAAGTAGGGGGGTCTCACTTGGGCTCTTGGAGTCAGACACATAGCAGGGACAGGAAATAGCCTCCATGGTGAGATCAGCACTGTGGTGTCAGGGACCTCATGGGTGGGCAGCCTGGGTTTGCCTGAGCCTCGTGTGTGAGCTCAAGTGAGTCCCATGACCTCTTTGTGCCTCAGTTTCCTTATTTATAAGATACAAGGCTGTTAGGAGGATTCTGTGAGCTAAGTTGCGTAATGGGCTAGTGTGGTGTCTGGGGTATATCAGGTGTTCATCATTTAGTGGCTAAGACGCTGGTGATGACAATAACCTCTAGTTTGGAAGCGCCTCCCTCTGGAGGTTGTAAGTCCAGCTGTCAGAGGACACATAAGGTTAGGGGCCACATATTTAAGGCTCTAGGAAGTACTGTAATAAAGAAACCATTGACTATTGTTTAATCTGGTGTTCCCCATATATTAAGAGCCTAGACCTACCTGCCCCCCCCTTTCTAGTAATACCTATTACCATCCCACCGAACCCACTTTGGGCATTGCTGGTCAGAGTTATTTCCCTCCTTAATAGATGAGGAAGCTGAGGCTTAGAAAGGGTGCGGGCCCTTGCTAAAGGTCACAGGGCAAATTCCCGGCAGAGGCAGGGCTGGAAGCCAGAACCCCTCCTATCGGTAATGCTCTCACCACTCTCTCTGCAGGAAGTCGCCCCAGCCAACGACCACAGTGAGTTCTCTGTCCAGACGCTGCGTCCCAGGCAGGCCTCCCACCCCCTCCCTTCTCCATCCTCTGGAGGAGCTCAGGGAACACAGCCGCATTTTCTTGGTCTCCTAAGCCAAGAAGAATCAGGAAGATGAAGCCTTTGCTGGGAAAAGCCATATACGAGAAAGAGACTGCGGGGAATGCAGAAAAATGGAAACAGCTGGCTTGCTAGTAGTGGGAGGGAAGGTGCTATTATTTCTTTTTTTCAGTTATTGTTGTTAGTACAAGCAAAATGCGAAAAGAAAGAATATGCCCTAATGCATTTGAAAGCCAAAAAATTTGTTTAAAAATCTGTTTGAGATTCCAGGAGGTGTGCATCTGTTTGATATGTGGGGACAGCAGGTCGGGCGATACTTTCAACAGCTTCTTCCTAAGTCTGTCTCCATTGCCTGAGATCATAGAGGATGAGGTGGGGAGCAGGCCCGGGGATCACGGGAGCCCCCTCAGAGGAGCGCAGTCGAGCCCCACGGCTGCCACATTAGTCCAGGGGCACTCCAAAGAAGACAGATCTTTTTTAGGACACAGAGCATTCAAGCCCCCAAACCTATCCTCCCCCTGACCTCCCATCATCTAAGAACCAGGAGTGAAAGGTTGGAGCAGATTTGATTTCTTTTCCTTCGGAAGAGGGTCATTTGGTGGAGGGAGAGGACAGGAGGGAAGGCCAGGATAGGAACCGTGGACTGGAGCATCCATCTCCGTTTCAGACGGGGCTTGAAGGTGAAAGGGACCTTCTTGGAGGGATAACTGCTTTGGAGAAAACGAAGATGAAGCTCTGATACATCGTGTTCTGTCTTCCTCAGTTAGTTGGAAATTGTGAAAATAGACTTGGAGACGTGTTAGCTCAAGCAGTGCTGGTTAGTAACTAGATGATGCTGGAGGGAAGCTCCCAGGAGCTATGCTGGAGGATAACAGGATGGGCCTTGGGCAGGAGATGGTAGCAGGCAAGTTTGTTGTCTGAAATTAACCCCTGCACCTGCCCAACCCTAGCTGAGCTCCTAGGTAGAGCCCAGGAGGCCAGAAAAAAGAGCCTGAGTGTAACCCTCAGATCCCCCCTCCACTGGGGATTCTGTCCCCCACTCTCTACACCTCTTTGATTTGCAAAACGTTGTCTCCAGTAAAAGGAATTCCATGCATTCACTTAGTGGGGCACAGCGGAGGGATTTTTTTTCCCCCAAGACAAAAATCTATTACATGGTGGTCACCTCCTCTGTCTACACAAGGCTGCTTTCAGATGGTGAGAGCATGGGGCATATGGAAATAACTCAGGACGTGGAATCCAAAGACCAAGGCTTTCAGTTCAGCTCTGACACCCATTAGTTCCTGAGCCTCAGTTTCTTCATCTATAAGATGGGAAAAACACCCCCTGCCTCACAGACATTGTTTTAAGTGTTAACAGAGGTAGAAAGTGTCAATTGCCCAGGACACGATGCCTGGTAGATATCAGGGAGTCAAGATGGGAGCTGTTGTCTTCAGGGGAGGAAGAGAGGGGAGGGCTGAGCACAAGGAACGCTGTCCTCTCTGTCTGGACCCCTCAACATCACAATACAGACATGTCAAGACACAGAAGGTCTGGCACAGCAGTTGAGCCCTCAAATCCCAACTCTGCCACTACTACTAGATGTATGACCTTTGGCAAGTGACTTAGCAACTCTGAGCCTCAGTTACTGCACCTGTAAAATGGGCTTAATCAAGGAATTAATGGAATGAGGTACTGCTTGTAAAAAGCTTAGCAAGAGGCTGGCAGGTGTGAAACTTAATAAATGTTAGCTAGAATTAAGAATTCTGGTTCAAGGGCAGATCAGGGGCCCACTCCTGGAGCCCCCCCACCCCACTGTCCCAGATCCCTTGTACTTGGGAGACCTGCTGCTGGACAGTCCAGGCCCCCACAGCCCTGGCACAGCTCAAGGATATGATCTTCAATTTCTGATGCCATCTTGTCACAGTTGACTCCATAGTCCTTGTAATCGTCTAAAAGAGATTCGGGAAGCACAGGCATCAGCCAGAGATGACCTTGGCAGTGAGGCCTGCTTGTGCTGGGGACGCTAGCATCCTGTCCCACTCTCACAGTGCTGAGAAAGACCATACCTCCCTGACCTTGGGAAGCCCTTCCCTCCCTCATCCCTGAACCAGGCCCGCTCACCGTCCGCCTTCAGGGCTGCTGAGAGCATCTCCACACACTTGTCCCGAACAGAGTCTCCTGTGAGATAGCAGGGCGCCAGGAGGCAGATGGAGGGGGCAAAGGTGGGGCTCGAGGGGCTGCTGGGTGTTCTGGGGGCCTCCGCTTTCGATTTGAGGCTGTTTGATCTGAGGATGACGATCAGTAATAGACATTTTGACATTAAGTGAATAAAGCATTTATTGAGCACCATTCTCGCCGTTTTTACGGATGATCTCCTTCAATCCTCACACAAACCCTACAAAGTAGATGCTATTTTAGGCACGTGACATGGACCATCTCATTTAATCCTCGTAACAACCCCATGAGGTCGGTGCTATTCTTATTCCCATTTTAGAGTTGTATTTTCAAAGTGCATTTTAGAGAGGGATGCATTTAAAATAATTTGACAGGTCACATATCTGGAAACCAGTAGAATCAGAACTGAGTGGGTGAACTCTGGTACTCAGGCTCTTAGCCAACCACAGTGCTCTCCTGAGAGATTACAGAACAGGGTAATGATGCCAATAATTCTATCATCCCATAAGGCACTGTGCTAGCTGCTTCTCTATCTGCTCTCATAGAACAGCTATTCCCTCATTCAATTAATATTAGGCACCTATTCTCCAGGTGCTGTGCTAAGAGCAAGGGATAAAGCAGACAAGTCAGAAAAGTCCCTTCTCTCAAGGAGCTACGGCCTAGTTAGTAGTGAGTTTACCACCACTTAAGAGAAATGGCTTTAACCATGAGCCAGGAACTGTGCCAGGCACTTCAGGAGCAATTTCTAATTTGATCTTCACAGCAGTCCTTGGAGGTAGATACTGTTACCATCCCCACTTGCAGATGAGGAGACAGTTACACTGCTGAGATCTGCATAAAGTTACGCTGCTAAGATTTGAACCCAGATCTGTTTGATTCCAATGCCTAGGCTCTTAACTTCTATGATGCAGTGCCTAAGGATGATCTCATTTTGGTTTTGGCTTAAAAACCCACAAATATATATATATGCATATATGCACTGGAGGGATAACCATGAGTCTTGGTCAGGCCAGGCTGCCGTCACAAAATACCATAGACTGCATGACTTAAACAACAGAAATTTATTTCTCACAATTCTGGAGACTGGGAAGTCCAAGATCAAGGTGTTGGCTAATTTGATTTCTGGTGAGAGGTCTCTTCCTGGCTTGTAAATGGCCACTTTCTTGCTGGCACGACAGATCCCCTTGGACCGCTGGGAGTTTTGTATTCTCTGGAGCCTTGAAGTTCCTCAAAGCTGTCTCAGTGCTGCCACTGAGTGGGGTGGGCCAGGGAGGGAAGGCTCTGCTCTTCTAAGGTTTCTATTTTGAATTCCCCAAAATTTTGTCCAAAGGGATTTCCTAGCTTTTATTTATGTTTTTTAAAATGCAGTTTGTGAACTGCACTAGATTAACTTACCCTGGATTCTACCAAACCCTGACTGACAACTGGGTGGCCTGGCAGCAGGGCACAGGGATAGGGAAGCTGGGATCCAACTAGCTCTCTCCTGGAGCCTGATTCCAGCAGGAGGAAAGGTGTGGGTGAGGGAAGGCTGGGAACGGTATCAACTCGAGTCCAAGGGGCTGCCTGCAACCAAAATGAATCTCCCCCCACTCAGCCCTGGTCTCAGCCACTGGGCTGTCACCTGCACAACCACAGTGGCCCCAGAGCTGGTCTCCCTGCCTCCTCTTGCCCCTCTTACAACCTCTTTGCAGCCTGGGGCGCTCTTTAGAACCTCACAGCTGATACCACCACTCCCCTGCTTCTGACCCTCTAACAACTTCCAACCATTTCAGCATAAAGTCAAAGTCCTCACCACGGCCGCCTAGGCCCTGCCCACCACATCTGGCCCCTGCCTCCCCTTCTGACCAAATCTCAAGCCACACACCCCTCACAGTTCACTGAAGTCCCCACTGCTCTGCTTCTTTCTGTTCCTTAAACACACGCAACACTCCCACCACACTGCCTTTGCGCTGGCTGGTCCCTCCTGGAAGGCTCTTCCTCCCCCAGATTTTCCTAGGACTGGTGCTTTCCCGCCAGGCAGGTCTCTGCTCAAATGTCACATCCTCAGGAAGGCCTTCCCTGAGCACCCCAGCCAAGCTGACTATCCTGCCCGTAACTCTGTAGCACATGACCTCATTTCTTTCATTCATAGCACTTATCCAAGTCTATAATTAACTTGTTTATATGTTTATAAACACTGTCTGCCTCCATCTCTGGCTTACAGGTCCCAGAGTATCAGGACCCCATCGCCTGGCTCACCACTGTCTTCCAGCACCTGTGACAATGCTCTAGGTGGACACTTGATGAATCTTTGTCAAATGAATGAATAGATGACGAATTGAGGGAATTGGCCACAAAGAGATGAAAGGTACATCCAGAGGCCAAGACAGAGCAGAGGACAGGTTCTCTTTGGAAAACCAATTGCCCCATTCCCCTGGGCTTAAGAGAAGGGTCTCTCTCCAAGCATCTGTCAACTCCCACAGCCTGGCCCAACCCATCTCCTACAGCCAGGATGGAGCCCCAGAGTCTTCCCGGTGCTGCCCCTCACTGACTGTGTGCCCATCACCATGTCCTCAGTGTCCAGGACTCACCAGTGGGAACCACCAGGGTTCCAAGTAGCATGCTGCTTGGAAGAAGGCATAATAATAAACATTAAAAACAGTTGTCATTTGGGAATCACCCACACTGGGGTGGTATATTTAAGAACATAGGCTCCAGAGCCAAACTCCCAAGTTCAAAGTCTGACACCACCACTTTGTAGCTATTGGACCTCAGGTGAGCTCCTTAACATCTAGGTGCCTCAGTTTTCTCACATGTAAATGGAGAGAACAATACCTACCTTATAAAGTTGTTTCGAAGATTAAAGCACCTAAGAGAATTCCAGCAAAAGACTATTAGGCAATTCACACAGGCTGCCACGTGAAGTGTGAGTATTTTTATTAAGCATTATGCATCTGCTGAGCACTCATTTGGGTTAGGGATAGTGCTAGCATTTCATTACCTCATTTGATCCTTATGGTGACCTTGAAAGGCGGTCACAGTTATCCCCATCATAACTACAGATCAACAGACTGAGGTTCAGAGAGTTGAAGTGACTTACTCAAGGGTAACTTGAGACCACACCCCTAGGTCTGCCTGCCTTCCAAATTTTTTTCAACACATCTCACTGTGTTCCTAAAAGGTAGAGTTTTCCGTAGTCCCCTTACCTGGTCTAGGCTAGGCTGCCTGTTACATTCCTCCCACTTGCCCCCAGCCCTCCCAACCTTCCTGGAAGGGCATTCCCAGCCTTAGTCCCTCCTGTTGGCGAGGAGCTGGCTAGCTGGCTGGGATTTGTGTCTGGGTGGCGTATCAAAATGAGCATGAGCAACCATGCTCATTTTGCTTTCAGTGCTCACGATTGGGAACTGTGCCAAATTGCAGAGAGGGCATCACCGGCGGGGGCAGGGCTGGGGGTGTTGGATTAATCAACAGCTTCCTTCTGCTCCCCGGATGTGCTAGTGCCAGCACCAGCCTGTGGTCTGACATCACCAAGTCCTTAAAAAAATCTTCCCAACCCACGTCTGAGCAGAGGCACCTGGAGGTCTGGCTTGGGAAGCCGGGCTTGTTGCTCCTGCGCGCCACCTCGAGGGCGTTTCGGTTACTGCACCACCAAGCCGGCCGAAACTGCACGGCGAAAACAAGTCAACCAATTCCCACAGCGGGTCCTAAGGGCCACCGGAAAAGTGAAGTGCAACCTTCTTCCCGTCCCTTTGTGGACTGTTCCCTGGTATTCCAGCTACAGTCCCCCGAGTACCATGTGCACTCATACTGCCAACCTCTTCACGTGCCATTCCCTCTGCCTGGGATACCCTCAACTGGCTTGTCTACCAGGCAAACTCCTATTCATCTTTCAGTTCTCAGCACAAATATTCTCTTCCCTGAAGTCTCCTTTGACTTCCCAAGTCCTACTGAGACACTCGTCCTGTGTTCCCAGTATGCATTTTATCTTCAAAAAACAAGCGTTTTGGTGTCTGCCTTTACACTAGTGATTAGCTGTGTGAAGGCAGAGATTGTGAGTTTGTATCTTTGTATCTTTAGAAGTCACAAACTGGCGGGCTACAAATGTGTTTTGTTTGCCCTACTTGTGTCTTAGAAAAATATGAATATGTTGCCCATATATAAAACTCGGTGTTTCGTATGGAAATCTAGTTGGCTAGCTTTCCTTAAAAAAATTGGAAGGGCATGGCACACCGGGCCTGCATTTCCATAAAGTAACAACCAGCTGGGGCTGAGTAGTGAGTGCCCCTTTCACACAGGCAGGTGCTCTGCCATTTGCCATGGTCTCCACTAGTTACCCAGTGTATGCACGTGCCCTTGACCCCTGGAGTTGCAAGGAAGTGCTCAACAAATGTGCTTGCTGAAGGAATGAATGAATGAATGAATGAAGGGAATGAATGGAAGGGAGAGATGAAATAGAGAGGTAGAGAGTGCAGGAAACAGTCTGGGTGGTGGATAAACTGAACCTACAACTTGCTTCTCTCCCTTTGGGTTGCCAGCACCCAGTACTGAACAGGACACAGCACAACTGCTGGAAAGACAAACATACTCTGCTTGACTGACCTTCAGGAGAAGAATGCATTAAGGAGGGAGCCAAGAGACTTCGAGGCCACAAGGCAAAGTAAGGAGAGGAATCTGAAGGTATAAATCTTTATACAAATGTCAAATGTGTTTAATATAGAATCGAACCCAGAAGTGGGTTAGTGGTCAGTGTTTCATTTTTGGATAGGACAATCCTTCTTTATGCAGGGCTGTCCTTCACATTCCAGAACATTTAGCATCTCCGGCCTCTGCCTACTAAATACCAGTAGTGCTCTGCCCCTCTCTCCCATTACTAAATTATATTATAAACTGAGTATTTGTGTCCCCTGCCAAATTCATATGTGGAAGTCCTGACTCCCAATATGTCAGTATTTGAAGGCAGGTCCTTTAAGAGATAATTAGGTTTATATAAGGTCATGAGGGTGGGGTTTCATGATAAGATTAATGTCCTTATAGGAAGAATAAGAGAGACCAGAGCCCAAAATCTCTCTGTGTGTCATGTGCAGACACAGCAAGGTGGCTGTCTGTAAGCTGGGAAGAGGCTGGTCTAGAACCAGGATGATTCTGGAGCCTCAGTTCCTAGGCCTCACCCATGCAGACATTGCTAACTGACCACAGAACTCTTCTCTTGTGCGGTAGGATGCAGCTTCTGATTCCCTCCCCAGGCAGCCCTCCAGAGAGCCTCCACTCATCAGCTGGAGCTGGCACTCAGTTGCCAGGGTGGGCTGTGCAACACAGCAGCCCCACCAACATCTCAGGCCTGTCTGATCTTCATAAAACCTTAAGCAACCTAGTTTTTGTGCCTCTTCTTTTCTTTCCAACGTCAGACTTACTGGTATATTAGGCCTAAAATAACTGGGTAGCTCCTACACATACTTCCACAGGAGCCAACACTCTCATCATCCCCCCAGCCACCCTGATCCAATATGGCCCCTGGACCCCAATCATTTGCTGTGATCGACCGCTAAGTCACTTCCTGGCCTGTCCTGCTCTCCTCTTGCCCTGATTCTTCTGCTCTGACCTCTGACCTCCCTCCTGGATCACAATTCACATTTGCGCCTTTATCCACAATCTCTCCTTCCTGATCTCATCCAGGTTTGTGGCTGCAAATGCTAGCACCATGATAATGGCTGAAATTTGTCTTTCCAGCCCAAGGTTTTCTTCCTGAATTCCAGCTTCATATAACCTACTGCTTATTCAACTTCTTCCCCTGAATGACTAGTACACCCCTCAAATCCAACATATCCAAATCTGCACTCAAGCCTGATTGACAGAGTCCTCCCCATATCAATGAACAGAAACTCTACCCTTGCAGATGCTCGAGGGAAAAGTCTAGGAGTCATCTTGACACTTATTTTTCTCTTGTACCCCACATCCAATCTGTCAGGAAGTCCTTACAGCTCTCCCTTTAAAATATACCCGGGGTCCCCCCCTTCTCCCCACCTCCACTGCTGCCACTCTGATCCAAGCCACCACCATATCTTGCCTGAATTATCAAAACAGCCTCCTGGCTGGTCTCTTTGCTTCTGCCCCTGCCCCTGCCAATCCAACTCAGCAGAGAAAGGGATCCTGATAAGTTCAGTCATACAGTTCCTACCTCAACACCCTCCAGTGGCTCCTGTTTCACTCCATCCTCCAACTCCCCCTCCCTCACTTAGTTACTCCAGACCCACTGGCCACATCACTGTTCCTTAACCCTGCGAGGCACACTCCCACTTCCGGGCCCTTGGTTTGGGAGAACCTCAATGTCTGCCTGGCTGATTCCCTCATTTCTTTCATATTTTTGCTCAAAGGTCACCTCTTTAACGAGGGCTCTCCTGACCACCCAGTGACCATCCTTCCCAGTTCCTCTCACTCTGCTCTGTTGTTTTCTACAGCATTTGTCACCTTCTGAACCATCATATAATTTACTTATCATATGTATTGCCCGTCTCCCCATTAGAACATAGGCCTTGTGCCTGTGAGGATTTTTGTTCACTGCTGTATCCTTTGCATCTAGAACAGTTCTTGGCACATAGTAGGCCTTCAATAAATATTTGATGAAAGACTGGCTTGATGTTTTAGGGTAGATAACCTAACCAGTTCGGCCCAAGCCCAGAGATCCCAGTCCAGGTGCAGGCTCTCAAAACCTGTTCTCACTGGGTTCAACCTGACCTTAAGAACATTTCCCAAACAGTGATGGGGCATCAGCCATCCCAGAGAAGGAGCCACACCTCTGATTCAGAGGCCCACCCAGTCTTACTGTGTAGGTCCTAGAATTTGGAGGCAATGTAACATATGAGGTTTCCTTCTTTCCACTGCCCTAGGCTTCCTCCAGTAAGACAGAGAGAGACACACACATTTGCTGAACAGGACTTCTGGCATGGAGAAGTCTATGGCTTCCTTTACCTTTCCATCGATGGCCTTTTGGGAGAGGAGGTGGCTGAAGACTTGGAGTCCACAGAGTCTCTCCTGAAAGAAGAGAAACCGGAGATGAGATGCTCTTATAGGCTAGCATCAGTACCAGTCTAAGGAGATTAGAGGCTGGGGAGAAAGCATCCTGGAGCCAGGCCTGCTGGGCTGAGGATGATGAAGGCCACCTGGACCACAGCTGCCTGGGAGGGAGAGCTCCAGGAGGTCACCCTCACCTACTCCCCATCAAATGGACAGGGAAAGAAACCAAGGTCTGCCAAGCACCTAATACGTGTCAGATATGGTACATGTGCTGTGCCATGTGTTACTAATTATTAGTAACTAATTCTCAGCAGTCCCTTCCTTCCTGCTGTTAGGCAGGCCTTGGCCAGCTGGACTCCATGGAGACTGGAATTCCTGGGACTGTCAGTTCTCAGGAGGAGCCAGAAATCAGCTTCAGCCTCCCTTGTGGGCACCTTAAGAGGAAGAGAGAAGCACATGGGCCTTGGAGATAAAAGAGCTGGGTTTAAAATGGCAAGTGAAAAAGCAGGGTACAAACTTAGATGCTTACTGTGCCTGAAATCATGCAAGACAACTAATGCCCATGAGGGAAAAAGATTAAAAAAAATACACCCACGTGCTAACCATGGTTATATCAGGGTGACCAGATAAGAAGTAAAAAATCCCCCCTCATTTTTCCAAAATGCATGTAGCTACATTCTTTTTATGATATAGAATGCATTTCCCCTTTTATTGGCTTTTTCAAATTAATTTGCTTCTAAATTGTAACTCCCACTCCCCAAGTCACTCACCCAGCTCTCCTTGTAATTCCAGTGCAGGTCTCACCTTCTAACAAACTCTGTAATTTGCTTACTTATTTTATGTGTTGTCCGATCACCTCCTTTGCAAATTCTGCAAGAGCAGAATTTGGCGGGTTTTGTTCACTGTGGTGGACATTGTCTGTACGGAGCCCACACCATCCCTTGGGTACTCTCTCTCCCCAGTGCACTGAGACCCGAGGGCTTCCTCTTACAAGATCCCCTGAGGGAGGTCTCCATGCCAGCCAGTGCCTGCAGGCCAGGCCGGTGGGCTGAAGGGGCTGGGGAGTTAACCCCACGAGCAGCCTTCAGCGAGACACACGGGAATAGGTGGGCAAATACCCCGGAGTCCCAGGCCCTCAAGTGGGTCAGCTGAGGAGTGCTCACTGTTTTCCGGCGGGCTTCAAGCCCTGGTCACCCACAGCAGCAACCTGCTCGCTAACACACCCTGTGCGGTTCCCTTCCCTTCCCTGTCTCACTTCCTCACTCCTCTGTCTGGATTTCCTGAAATCACTTCCCAAATAAACCTCCTGCACCGGAATCCATGTCTCAGGGTCTGCTTCTGGGAAATCTCATCTAATATACTCAACTGACTTCTCCCAGGTGAACAGAATAGTGCCCGGCACAGAGTAGGTGCTCTACAAACGCTTGTTAAATGCTGTGAAGTCAAACAGTAAAGGAATATAAAAACTAAAAAAGTAGAAAAAGAAACCTCTCCAGAGGTAACAATGCTAAGTTTAATGTCCTTCTTTCCAGATCTTTTTCTACATATATATATATATATATATAGTTTATCATTCTAAAAAGGGAGGTAATGACATGAGTTGTAATCCCAGCCCCGCCCCCGGGCAGATCATCTCTTAGCATCCAATTCCCTCACTGGTCAAATGGGGAGAAAAGGACCTACATCTTGGGACTGGCTGGGAAGAAGACTTTAGATCATTAACATCCCCACAGCCGTTCCAGGCACAAAGAAGTCCTCAATACTCCATAATCCTAGGTATTTGATTTCTTGTTTTCCAGATTATGCAAGATTCCTGCATGGATTTCCAGCTCCTATCTCATCCTCCAGGTGGTCTGGGAGACAGTGGGTGAAGAAATTTCAGGGACCGGCTCTAATTATCCTCTGGACTAGACCCAGCTAGCTCCAGACCTTCACCCCAGCTTAGACACAGTGGGAGGCAGCAAGAGAGGGAGAGGGGAGGAGAGACTCCTACACATGCCCCCTCCAATCCCACAATGGCCCTGGGAGTTCCTCTGCAGGGCTCCTCCCGGAGTGCCCCATGCTGACAGACAGGTGCAGGCAGAGCTGCAAGCTGAAATTCTTGCAGCCAGAGAAAGGAGGGAAGACCTGAGTCTCTACCCATCCCCCACCATTTTCTGGCCCTTCCTCATTGCTTTTCTTTCTAGAACAAATCAGAAATATTCTGCAGTTTTTGCAAATGATCATTACAAAAATATTCAGGGACATGAAAAAGTGTCTCAGAATACAACAGGAAGATAAAGAAACAGGGACACCTTGTGTACTCCACCCACAGGAATGGGGAAATTATGTATGTAAGTAGACCAGGACTGGGAGGGGAGAGGAAAACAAAGCAGCTTCATTTGTCAGAAGTGGCACATCGTGGAGAAATACTTTTAATTCTAATTTTAAGTTTTACTAATGTGGTTATAGTGTTTATATAATAAATAATACTAACGAATCGTCATTAAGAAAACCAAAAAGAAAGGAAGTTCACCAACCGAGCTGAAATAGGACCCCTGCCAACTAGATTCTCCCAGCAAGGTGGGGGGACAACCACCCCCCTCTCTGCTCAGCCCCAGTGACAGCTTCATCTTATAGCTCAACCCTTGAAAAGCGAGCTGCATTAACAATTCAACATCCCAGGATGTTGTTAACTGTAAAATGCTGGTTAGAAAACAGTACATATAGTGAGCTTCCAATTTTATTAAGGAAATATAACTGTATATATATATATGTGTGTATATATATATATTCTTAAAAAGATGAAAAAGATACACATCAAAGTGTTAACAGTGATTATTTGTTATTTTCTTCTTGTGTTCTAAACTTTTGAAACTTTTTACACTAAATGTGACTTGAAATAAATAAATACATGTGAAAAGACTACAAAATGGTATATAGAGTTTAATTCCATTTTAAAACAGTAAGTATTTCATGGATAATGATGACACATAGGAAAAAGTCAAGAGGATGTGAGGGTATAGCTCAGTGGTAGAGCATATACTTAGCATGCACGAGGTCCTGGGTTCAATTCCCAGTATCTCCATTAAAAAAAGTATGTGTACACATATATATGTGTGTGTATGTATATATATATACATACATAAATATATATATTTACATAAACTTTTTATATAATGAGATAATGATGTTCATTTTTCAGGCCACAGTACTGAATCTCAGAGACTAAGGGTGTTAAGTGATTAAGTTCATCTTAGAACTTGGCTTTCTGCTTTCCAACTGTCTTCTCATCCATACCTGTCATCTTTGCAGGCCGTTAAAAGAAATCCCTTTCCTGATCATCCAGTGGGATTTGGGGATGGAGCAAAATGAAACGTGTTCAGCTGCCATCGGTACCCAGAAACCAAAACGCCCGATTCCACAGATTAGTCCCATATCCATTTGCGCTCCTCTCCCAATAGTTCAGCCTCTAGTCTTCAACCACACCTCACAAAATCCTGGTCGTTCATTTGCCAAAGTTCTCCAGATGTGGCCAGACCAGCCAGAGCATGAATGTCCACAGGGGACTGCACTGGTACACTGGGCCTAGCAATATTCAGTAAATATTCATTCTGTGCTGGGCCTGGTGGATCACAGGATCCCTGACAGCCAACCTCCTAACCCTTTTGGGAAAACCAAACACACCATGTGAAAAGTCAAATGCCATCAGGAGTTTTCCAAGTGGGATACAACTGAAAATTAGCAAAATTAGCAAAATGAAAGGAATAGAACATAGAAAAGATTACAGAACCATTTGACAAATACTGCATTTTAAAAAGCAGACTACAAAATTGATGATAACTACAGAAAACAAAAAGAAAACAGATAAACCATATACCAAAATACTGAGTGATTGTTTTTGGGTGGTGGGAATATGAGTGATTTTTTCCCTACTTTTTAATATTTTCCATTACTTCTACAACAGATTTTTATCACCTTTGCTCATTTTTAAAAAGAACTATTACTTTTTCAGAGTTCAAAAGCAATACAGAGGGGGAAGGTATAGCTCAGTGGTAGAGCACATGCCTAGCATGCTCAAAGTCCTGGGTTCAATCCCCAGTACCTTCACTAAAAATAAATAAATAAACCTAATTACCTCCCCTCAAAACAAAAAAGGAAACAAACAAAAGCAATACAGGATCATTGTGAAAAAAACCCAACAATACAGATTAAAAGTTTTACTGTATAACAGAATAAACACGAAGCTTCTCTTAATTACAATCACACATATATTTTTGCTTTCTTAAAAATAGTTTCATTATTTTCCCTTATTTCAAAATTGGTACAGATTTGTTGGGAAAAAATCAGAAATACAGAGATTTGCAAAAAGAAGAAGGAAAAAAACCTCTCAATCCTCCGCCCCAAAATGATCACTATTACCATCCTGGTGTATATCATTCACATCTTTTTTCCTATGCATATACATAAAATTCACTTATTTAATTTTTATAGAAATGGGAGGTAATTAGGTTTATTTATTATATTTTTTAATTAAATTTTTTTTAATTTTTAGGGGGTAACTAGGTTTATTATTATTATTACTACTACTACTACTATTATTATTTTTAGAGGAGGTACTGAGAATTGAACCTAGGACCTCACGCATGCTAAGCATGTGCTCTACCACTTGTGCTATACCCTCCCCTCTTTTCACAGTTATTTTTACAAGCAAAAATAGGAGTGGTGTGATGGAGGTATACCTCCCTCTTGGTCAAGAATCACCCCTCTTATAGCATCATTTCCTAAAGTGTTTTCCACAGAACATCTATTATATAGGATTATAATAAGCATTCAGTTAAAAAGGGTTTGGAGGGAAAAATGTTTCAGAAACCCCAGCTGAAAAATGTTACCCACAGAACATATCATCTTTGTTTAATCTGATTAATTCCTCAAAATGAGTTCCCTGTAGTGGATATATTGGGTGAAGAGGTATGTAGTTAAAAACATTGGTCTATCAGGGATCACATTGTCTATTATCTAGTCTCACTCCTTATCTATTAGATGACCCCTCACCAAGGGATTAAGCGATCTTTTTAGTTACAGGGAATACGTAGGACTTACTTATACATCCATGAAGGCTTTTATCTACCATCATGGATAAAGCATTTGGGTCAATCAGAAAGTCACGCAATTTGAGGGACCCTGGCTGGGGTGGGCAAGGGGGATGGGTGCAGAGCTGAGGCCTCAGCAGTGGTCTGGGGGTCCAACAGACAAAGATGGGAATCCCACTCTGTCCCATCATGGCTATGTGATCGATCTTGGGTAAGATTCTGCTCCCCAAACTTCAGCTTCCTCATCACTATGTTAATCTCGCATCCTGCTACCTTGCTGAATTCTTTTATCAGCTCTAGCAGTTTTTGTGTGGAGCTTTTAGGGTTTTCTATATATAGTATCATGTCATCCACATTTAGTGACAATTTTACCTCTTCTTTTCCAATTTGGATCCCTTTTATTTCTTTTTCTTGCCTGACTGCTGTGGCTAGGACTTCCAAGATTATGTTGAATAGAAGTGGTAAGAATGGGCATCCTTGTCTTGTTCCAGATTTTAGTGGGAAGGCTTTCGGTTTTTCCCCACTGAGTACTATGCTGGCTGTAGTTTTGTCATAACTACATCGCTAAATGGCAGTTTTGAATAAAAAGCCAACAAAATGTTTTTCCTTCTCTGTGGACAAGTAAGTTCCTAGCCCCACTTACCTGGAACCCTGACCACGGTGGAAAGTCAGCTGCATTACAAGGCGATCTTGCTTCTAGTACAAATGAGTCCTGACTAGTAAATTGTATCTACATGGCAAGGGCGATGAAAGTAAGTGGAAAACCACAGCTTCAGGGCTACCCCAAGTGCAGCGAATCTTGTAAATGGTTGTCACCCTTGCTGGGATCCTGGAAGCTTTGTCTATGGGACAGTTATAAGACTTGGGACATGGAACTTCTAAGTCAAGGGGTTCCCACCAATTGTACCTGCACCTGTACTGTAACCTGCGTGGGCCAGAGAATAGCTCTGGATGCTGCATTGTCCCCTATGAGAACTCTTGGTGGTGAGAAACACCTGAGGCTGCCCTGCTAGCACACTGCTTCCCCTGTCCCTGCATCCTTCTAGGTGAAACCCGTGCCACTGACAGCCTATTTGGGTCACGTGAATCTGTCTGGTTTAGCCAAGAAGCCTCCCAGAGGGGGTGCTGCAGGAGATGACAATAACCACCTCCTGGGGTGTGAGGATTAAATGTCACTGTATAACAGAGCTGCTGCCAGAGTATGTGACAAGCGTTGGCCCCCCCTTCTCTCCATCCCAGGAAAAATACCTATCTTTGGGCTCTTCCACGTGTTTTTTCCTTGGTGGAGAAAGGCTTGTCTCTGGCTTCCAACTGGAACAGTCAAGTCCTTTTTCCTTCTTTTTTGCTTTTACTCTTCCCTCTCCTTTTTCTCCTTTGGGAGGCGCTGGGGACTCTAAAAACAAAACGGTGACATTGTTCCTCAACTCTCCTGGTCTCAGCCAAACCCTGGACTTTGGGGAGGAAGGAGCAAAGGGCAGGGACTGGGACAGCCTCCCCCCTCCCTGCAAAAGTACACATTTAGACACAAATGCATATACAATATGCACGTGTGTGCAAACCCAAGCTCACACATGGACACAGAAAGACATTTGCACACACCTATGCCCATATTCATACCAACGTGTGCATACAGACATGTATACACAGAAATACACACATAGGGATATGTACACAAAAACTCACCCATCTACAAATCTCACACTTGTGTAGACAAATGCTGGCACTTCCGCTAGAGGCCCTCTGTCACTTAAGTCATTCAACAACCACACACCGAGTGCCTGCTATAAGCCAGGCACCGTCCATCCCAAGTGTTGGGAGAGAAACTTGGCCCAAGGCAATCTTGCCCCTCTCACCTAGCAGCCGCTTCCAGTTTCTGATGAGGACTTTGGCCAAGGACACCACCTCCTTGTCAGAGCAGTGCTTGCGGACCCCATTAACGGCTACTCCAATCCTGGTGGTCTGCAAAGAGGGAGTTAGAGGCCGGTCTGGGAATGCACATACTGGACTGGCTCCCTAATTGCAAGACCTGTCCCAGCTCAACTACTCTCTTCCAGTGGCCTAGCCTCTCTGGAGCCCCAGCTCAGACCTGTGGCCAAGATAATAACCCTGACCTTATAACTGAGGCCATGACCTGCTGCTCTTAGTAAGGTCCAGGGCCTAAGGCCCAGCCCCCTGCTCTGATGGGTAACTGTGGCTTTGGGGAGAAGCCGAGGTGGTGGTGGGTCTGGCTAATGACCAGGACCCCTCCTCATTTTCTGCCCTCTGCTGTCTTTGAGTTCAAGTTTCAGTTTAAGACACAGCTCTGGCTACTATAGCTTGGGTACTTGTTAAGTTTTCAGGGCCAAGAGCTTCTAGTAAAGTCTGAGAGTACATGGGTAACACACGGGGGGTCTAAAAATGGAGAACTTTTCCTTCTCCCTGGTCCACTGGCCTCCCGGATCCCAAAGGCCCAGGGCCTTGGGAATTGGGGAATTCAAGGAGAGCAAGGCAGTCTTTTCCTCCTGACCCAGAAGGCCCCACGTGCTTGGAAGATATCCTGCCACCATCTAAAAGCCTCAATTCACACCCTCAGACAACCTTGAAGGCCCTCCCCGCAGAAATCCTTCCCAGACCACATCCTTCGAGGGCTCCCCCACCAGGGTCCTTCTCTCCCCAACAAGGTTGCCCTCCACCCCAGGCGCTGCCCCGGGGCTTCCCGTCCCCCCACCTGGAGGAGCTGGATGGACATCTGACAGCTGTTCAGCTTCTTCAGAAGGTCGAGGGCCCCTTCCTGTGGGAGGCCACAAGGTGAGCGCTGAGGCCTGTGGGTTCTGCCTCAGGCCCCTCTCTGACCGTTGCGCGATCTCAGTGGGAAGGAGGAGGCAGGAGGTAGGGAGGAGACTGTTCCAGCGGCAGGACACAGGTACACAAGGACACAGGACACACAAGTGGTCAAAGGACAGACAGGGAACAGGAAGGAGGAGAGAAGGAAAAGCGTCTGCCCCAGACCAGCTGTCTGACTCCACCTCTTACCACCTAGCTGGGTTCAAGCCCCTCTGAGCCAGGGTCCAGCCTGAACCAGTCGGCCTGACCCTCAGCCATGGGTTCCGCTGTTCCTTCCCCAGGGCATGCTCTCCCCTGCCCCATCTCTTCGTCTAAAGTTAATTCCTTCACAGCTTATTGCTTCTCCTTTCATGTCCATATCTGGCTCCCCTCACTTCCCAACTGTCAGCTTCTGTAGGTTGAGGACCATGGCTTTTTTTTAAAAAACAGTTTTATTGAGGTATAATTGACATACAATAAACTGCACATACTGTAGGCTACAATGTGATGAGTTTTGATATATGTGCACACCCCTGAAACCATCACCACAATCAAGATAAGAACACAGTCAGCATCCCCAGCACTTTCCTTGTGTCCCTTCAGATTCCATCCCTCCCTACACCCCCAACCCCAGGCCACCACTATTCTGCTTTCTCTCACTATAGGTGAGTTTGCATTTTTAAGGGTTTTACAGAAAGTGACTGTAATGGATTCTTTGTCCGGCTTCTTTCACTCAGTGTAATTATTTTGAGATTCATCCATATTGCTGCACAGCTGAACAGTTCCATTTTATTACTGAGCTGTTTTCTATTGTATGCACACACCACAATTTGTTTATCCATTCACTTGTTAATGGGACTGCAGGTAGTTTCCAGTTTGGGGTGACTACAAATAAAGCTGCTGGAAATATTCCCGTACAAGACTTTGTATGGACATATACTTTCTTTTCTCTCAGGTAAAGAGGACTGTTTAATCTCTGAGAATTCCAGGTTCAGCAACAGCCCCATGCTCCCTGAATGGGTGAATAAAGCAGAAAGTAGAAGGTGGGAGGGGAGAGAGGGAGGGGAAGAAAGGAGATGCAGATATGAAAATTGGAACCACCCCTGACCCATTTCCATTTCAGCCTTCTCCTTCCCATCCACTTCCTAGAAGCCAGCCTAGGCCTCCTGCCTGGAGACTGGTTCCCTGGGGAGCACCAGCTGACTCCATCCTGTATGCCCCTTGCCCTGGCCCCACTGTCAGCTGCCAATCCCCGCCCTACCAGGCTTCCTGGGCCATGTCCCAAGGGCTGCCCTCCTCAGCCTTCCTTAGAACTTGAGTTCACAGTCTGTTTTCAGAGGGGTGAACTGTGGATGAGTGTGCATATAACTGCCTGTACCACTAATTAAAGGCTTACTGTCTGCTGGGCACGTTCTAAGTATTCTACATGCATTATCTCCCTTAAATCTTGCAATGACCCTATAAGGTAGGTCTTATTACTATTCCCATTTTCACAGAAGAGAAATCCAAGACACAGAGGTGAATTTGCCCAAAGTTACAAGGAACTGACCTGGGATTCTAACTCAGGCCTTTCAGGTTCGAACCACTATACAACCGTGTAGGTAGGTATGGACATAGATCTGTCTGAATGTGTACAATCATGGAATTTCAACACGAACAAGTACACTGGTATGTTGGTCAGTGTTAAGCAACAAGCTCTCAAAGGAAGAAATTCGTCTGTAGTGTTTGCCAATTTCCTAATGTCAAGCTACTGAGATGCTGCCACTGCACTGGAGGTATTGGGAAGAGATGTGTGACATGAGACCATTGCTCAGTACTTCCACCATATTGATATAACAGAATTAAATAACCTCCAGACCATAGATGACAGTAAAGTATAATAAAATAATAAGGAAGTAATGATTTTGGAGTTTTTATATGACCTTTGTTTTTAACATAATTTATTTAACTGTAAGCATATAATTTAATGTTAAAAACAATGGCTGTACTTAGTAACTGGCTTGCAAAATTCCTGAAAGTTCAACAATCGGGTTTAAGCCAGTTCCAGCTCACCACTGGGCGTGAGTCTCCGTGTGTCACACTGTATAACTGGGTCATGGTGGAGAAGAGCCATGAGCCCCAGTTGTAGCTGGGCTCACAAAGTTGTGCAAATGTTGCCAGGTGTGTCTCTACACATGTGCGTATGGCATATGCAGCCAGCAGGATCTCTGGTCCAGTGGGAGCTGATGTGTTTATCTGTCTTTGTGGGATGATGCATGAGTTATGTCTGAACATGTAAGTGCGGCTGTTCGCTAAGTTTGTAGCTTTGCATGTCTCGGTGTAGCTGATTGTGTGCATGCACATGTATAGGCATGTGTGTAGTTGTCTTTGTGTATCTTTCTACAAATATAATGGTCAGTGTGTCAGTCATGTCAGGGTCAGTAACACATCTCACACAGTTATGTTCATTGTTGCTTGTTTAGCAATATTGTGTGTGGCTGCATGTATGTAGTTATGTTTGTCATATGTGATTATGTGCATGTGTAGCTGTGACTCCTGGTGTTAGGCTGTTTGAAGCTATTACAGCTGGTGCATGCTCACAGCATCTGACAAAAGCCCTAAGTTGCTGGGATTTCAGGAGCTGGCAGTAAACTCCGGGCCTGAGCTGCAACGTGGAAGATCCGTCTTACTACAGGAAGTGTGCCCTCCTCTCCCAAACCACCACTGGGCGGGTCCACTGTCGCTCCCAGAGCAGGCCCCACCTTTCTCTGTCACATGCCCAGAGTTCTGTGCCCACCCAGATGCTGCCAAAAACCCAGGCGCAGACGTGGCTGCAGACTGGCTCCTTGCTACAGGGACCCTGTGGCCAGACTTGCATTTTTCCTGGAGAGAGCTCTGGGTACTTCCACAGGAACCCTTGACAAGGGATACCATTTCTTCTTCCCACTTCACAGAAGAGGAAATCGAGGCCAGAGAGGGAAACTAGAGTGGCGGGTCTAGGTCCAAAAAAGGAGTGAGGGGAGGCCAGGGCATGTCCCTTCCTCCTCAGTCAAGCTGCCTTTCTCCTAAGCCAGGTCTCCTAAACTTCCCTACCCCTCCACCCCTCCCCGACTCTCATCCAGAGGCCCAGAATCTTCTGGTCCAAATCTGGGGCCACTAAGGGGCAGGCCTGGGATAACCTGAGGTGGAATTTGGTTCAGGAGACCTGGACTGGGCTCTGCTGCCCCCGAGTTGGGAAAATGCTCCCGATGACTTGAGGCTCAGTTTCACTGACACTGGAGCATCCCAGGACGGGGGCTCCCAACACTGCAGGTTTCTGTGTTTCCTCTGATTGTGCAAAAGCAGGTGTCACTCTCTAACCCTTCCCAAGCACCAGTCCAAGTCTTCCTAAGGGCTTCACTTCTTTTCCACCCTCACTACTACCAGCAGAGACAAAAATCCACTGACACTCCTTCCTAGGAAGAAGGTAATCTCATCTTCTTACAGATGAAGAAACTGAGGCTCTGGTCTTTATATGGACATGCCCATGTCTACTCTGGGGCTCCCTGACATTCCATGGATCCAGCAACCCTCCCTCCCCCACCCTTAGGGTCCATCGTTTTTCCAAGCTCCTAGGATTACAAAATATGCTGGAAACGCAGGTCTTGCTCCAGGACGTGGTTATGGATGGTGGGAGGAGGAGAGCCCTAGGACAGAGTGAAGTAGGGGGGCATGACCGCTGGACTAGCCTCCCCTTTCTTCCCTCTCCTGGTGAGCCCCGGCCCTCCCTGTCCCAAGGCCAAGTTTGCTCGGCTAGGCAACCGGGCTGCAGCTAGCCTGAGGCAAAGATCACGGGGAGGATCAAACATTAACTTCCAGTCAGCCCGCGCTCGGGGACTCCTGGCACTAAGCACTCAGGCACCCGCAGGTACGGCCGCCAGGCCTGATTCCCCTCAACCTCTGGGTCCCGCTCTCCCCCCAGCTTCCCCCGCCCCCAGCCCAGGCCTCCAGCCGGCCCGTCTTCCCCCGCCCCGCGGACCCGTGGGCGCAACGGCTGCCCGACACCTGTTCGGCTCCCGCCCGCCCCGGCCCCACCCCGCGGCCAAGGAAAGGGAGAGTTACAAACAGAACAGCTCCTGGAGCCTCAAGTTGTGGGGTTGCGGGATCCGAGGCCCTTCGCTTTTCTACACCAGATCCTCTCTCGGGCTGCGGGGCAGATGCGGCTCAGCTCAAGTGCAGCTCAAGTTTCTTTGTCCCTTCCTGGGCCACTCAGGATTTTGTCCCCCACCATCCCAACCCGTTCCCGCAGTCGCCGTCGCTCCCCTGGCTTTGCACACGCCGTGTCCCGGGGCTCCGAAAGTCCTTTTCCAGGTCCCGGTCCCTTCACTCTCTTTCCCGCGCCCTGCTCAAGCTCCCCAGGGGCCCCAACTCTGCACATCCAGACCGACGTGCACAAGCCCCGTCTTCGGGGCCCGCACGACACCCCCGGTGCCCCGGGCCAAGCACACACGCAGACTTCGAGGTGCCAGCAGTCCCCAAGGGGCGCTGAGTCCTGCCCCGGCCGCGCCTCCCTCGGGTCCCTGAGTCCCGCACGCGCCTCCCGGGCG